GCCTGGTGGAGGCAGGGAGGCCGAGGTGCCGGAGGCCAGTGTGAGAGACAGCAGGCTGGGCCGTCCATCAGAGAGACCAGCTGGTGGAGGGCTCTGCGCCGGGGGTTCCCCGCGATGAGGTAGGGCTGGGAGAGCAGTGGGAGCTGCTGCTGCTGCTGCAGGAACTCTGGGTGCTGGAGCCCGTGATGAGATGGACAACTGGCTTCTGGGCAAAGAGCACTCCTACCAGGCACAGGGAGGCAAAGAGAAGGGTTACTGGGACTATGGGGATGGGGTACGGAGCCAAGAGCAGTCTATCCAACCCCAAAGACCTCATTCCTAACAGAAAGAGGCTCAGTGCAAGACAAGGAGGCCTGGAGACAGATCAGAGGGTCAGTGACAACCAGGGCGTAAGAAGGGATCCCCAGGGCCTTGGTTCTGGTGGCCTCTGTCACAGGGATGTGTTGCTCATGGAGCACGGAAAGATCCCAACCGGCTTCAACCCCTTGGGAGGAGAGAAGCAGCTTCCACTGCACCGCAGCGCCAGGCCTCCCGCTCGGGCTTTGTCCAGGGACGCACGCGTGCTGCCTGCAGACATGAAACGGCTCGAGCAGAGCACGGGGGACAACAATCCGTGCTTCCCGAAGACATGTGAGGAACAGCTGAGCAAAGCCACTCGTCAGCGGGAGACGAGGGATAACGCTCCTTCCTCTTAACGCTTCTACAGAAGCCCCTTCCCCTGGATTTTAAAAACACCAACGATCACCGCCAGCAAAGGAAAGGGCATTCACCCTGACTGCCTAGGACCAGGAGAAAAGAGAACAGAAATCGTCTCCTGGTGAGCTTTCAACGCCAGACAGGTTGTGTGCGTCATGCGTTGGCACACCAGCATAAATTGTGCCGTTAATCTCCACCGACATGTTAATACTCCCGATGCCGTTAGGTGACAAATTCAGCGCCGCCGCCGCCGCTGCCGCCGAGTCTGGTTTATCTTCTTTCAGAAAAGAAGAGACGCAGAGTTAGAGAGTAACTATCCCGTTCCCCGCACTACCCAGTGATGACCAAAGGTGCACGCAGCCCTCCGCTTGCCTCCCCTCTGGCGAGGAAATCCCCACACGATGCCTGCTGCCAGTCCTGTGACAAGTCTACAAAGGTGTCCGAGTGATTCGGCGTGAGCTGAGGATCGGCTGGGAGCCTGCTGGCATCCGCGCATCACTCCGACTCGCACGCCGGAGGGCCAGGTTAACATCCCCTCCACAGAAAATGCTGCCAGCACAGGAGACAAGACCACATTCGCGTTGCCTGGGTTGCGGCTGTGTTCGCAGCAGAGTGGGAGCCCATGCACAGCCCTCTGCCCTTGGTTGAAGGGTGGCAGCTCCTCGAGGAGCCAGCTCCTGGCCCAGCCCCTTGCCCGGCTCCCAGTGCAGCTCAGCGTGCAGCAGCTCGAGGCGCCGAGGACTCCAGCCCAGGAACGCTCTTGCTCTGCTCGGCTGCCCCTACAGCACCTGGGAAATCTGCTTTTTCTGTGTCCTCAGCCTGGAGGACAGCTGCGGTGGGCAGCTCTGAAAGTGCCAGTGCAGAGCAGGGGTTCAATTTGCGCTGATCTTGAAGCGAAGCTCAACGTCAAACTCTCCCGGTCACTTCTGAGCCTCCAACCTAAGCAACCCGTAACCGTGAGCTGGGCTTGCGGGATTGCTTCTCTGCGCTCGTGAACGCACGCTCACAGTTTGCCCAGCCGTATCACAGCCCCCAGCCCAGCCGCTGCTGGTTTTGGGGCATCGGGCTATTAAAACAGAGAGCGATTACGCAGACAGCCTGCTCAGGCCCTGACTCGCGTGTAAAATGCAGGTCTTTAGCTCCTTTCCAGTCTGCCAGGACAGCAAGTACACCGTCCCTGGAAAGAATGCTAAGGACGCCGTTAACATTTAACCCAAACGCTGCTATCAAGCTGGGACGAGCTCACGCGGTGCTTTTCAGAAGTGCCTCTCACACCACTTTACAAAACACAATATTATTTTGATTTTGCAGTTGGGACAATGAGGGCAGGGAAGACAGGACGGACTTGCCCGCAGTCAGCTAAAAAAGGTGGGAACAGTTTCACCGAATCCTTAGGGCTCAGTCCTCAGCCCGTTACTGTTTGTAGGGACTGAAGTTGTTCCTAGCATTTTGATTTAGGAAGGTCAGGGTGGAGAGACAAAAAAAAAAGTACAATGAGAGGGAATGAACACTACTCGATCAAATTTTCATTCCCTCTGACTCACTATTTTCACTTTTGCTTTGTATTTATGTGAATGTGAAACGTAGGCGGATGCGTAGCTGTCAGGAACCATGCATGACGTGAAGTCCCAATCCCATTCCACCCTGCTGCAAAACTTCAAAGAGGAACCCGCTTTGACCCTTCGCCGTACATACTTCCGGCAAAAGCGTCTCAGTAAAGCATTTCACAGAATCACAGACTGTTCGGGGTTGGAAGGGCCCTCTGTGGGTCACCCAGCCCAACCCCCTGCCGAAGCAGGGG